TTGGAAGCAGACAATAGAGATAAAGGGAAGGAAACACAGCAATGTCAAGAACATAAAGCAGTTTACATTCAGGTTCATAAAAGAAGCACAAACAATTGCTGAAAACTTATACTTTGACATAGACCTCACAAAAGGTGAGCTTTACTACTGCAATTATGGAAGCTGCTCAAATAAACCATTCTGATTTTACAGACCAAGCTTGACCTTCTGTTAGGAAAAAGTCATGTAGGATTTAACAGAGCTTAAAACAAATATTGAGTTTAACAGAATTTCCTTTAAAAAAAAACAAACAACAAACTAGTATTTATTCTATTGGAGTTTTTGCTTTTGTTTTGTTTTGTTTTTCTTAAAGTAAACACATCCTAGCAGATTTTACTGGAGACCTTTCATGTCAGGTGAATTCTATGGCACTGTTAAAGAGAAGTGAACAGTGTGTATTGTATTCCACAGGACTTTTCCACACAGGATTTTGCAGATCTGGAGGTTGCCTGCTGCAGTCACTGACCCAAAGAAAACTCCCATCCCTTCTAGCATTTTACCAGACAAAGGGACTTAGCATTTACATACTACTTTTGAGGAACAACAGGCACCCCTTCGAGGTTTTCCCTCAACCAGGATATTACACTCATGCAGTACAAAGAAGATGCAGAAGAGGTGCCATTCCACGTATGACCATACAGTACAGAAGCCACACTCACCTTAAATATTACCTTCTGTAAAACAAGTATATTAATTTATTTTCTTTTTGGGGTTCTTTTTTTTGGTTGGTTGGTTGGCTGGTTGGGGTTTTTTTTGGTGTTATTTCTTACCCCTTCATGAATTTCTGCCCTACTTTTCAATTTCAACTGTTCAGGAGAATAAAGAATTAAATAAAATTTGCAAAGCTTCCAAAATCTTACAAGCACACAGTGCATACACCTTTTGAAACTGGGAGATCTTGCCTCATTTCTGAAGGGACAAGTGAGAGTGAACTGAAGAGGAGTTCTTATCTGTGACTGCAGGAAGCACCTCTACATCCACAGGTCTTATACAACAGGGAACAAGTTGGCTGAGCAGTAAAACAACTACACAAAATTCACATTCTTTCTCTTAGTAAAGTGTTTCAGATCTTGAACCTGTTCTGTTCAATCTCACATAACACAGGTCCTGCTACAGTAGTTAGGTATACTTTTAAAAATTAAATACAACATGGAAAGGCAGCAACAGCATCACAGAAATAGGTGGAACACAGAGCCATGGGAAAGCAGGAACTACACAAGTGGGACCCTGGCAGTGGAATAATTCAGGCCAAAAAACCTCACTTCATTACAGCCCATGGGAAAGTTACCCCAGTTACTATAATGGATGCTGGATTAGGTCCTTTGGGTGTAAAGAGGAAAAAACATTAGTCAGCATAGGAAGAGCATTTAAGTAAAATGCATCCGTTCTGGTTAATTTAAGGAAGAAAGCTAAAGATTAAACATCACAATGAGGGAATGAGAAGTCCAGCTGGATTTGGAAGGGACAGGGCCATTGACCAGCATTAGAATCAAGTCCTGGGGAAGTGCTTGGCACGTCAGAAGCAATGTCCAAACCCACTGTGCTGTTCGCTCGGGTCCCAGCAAGCAACTGGCTGAAACAATTTCATGATGACCAATACCCCTCTCTCACTGCAATTTACTGCTATTTTTAAAGCCTTTTACTAGCACCCAGTGTGAAGGCACATACCTTTTAGCATATTGGTGACGAGGGATGACTCAGAACATGGTGGTGACAGAGGAACTTACGGGAAATGCTGTAACAGCAGTGAGATTCATTGCTGCCATGTTACCTAATGTTTTCTATGTGGAGGGCAAAGGCCATCAAAATGCCCCTGCCCTGTTTTTTCCTCAAATGACTGAAACCTCATTCAGTGCTGTGAGGTTTCAACGGTATGAAAAATGCCCCTGATTTTTCCAGTGCAGCTGGGAGGGCTGGCCAGGATGAGTACATGGCAGGGACACAGGAAGGCCACACATACGACCCTCCCTTTTGAATGATCCCTGAAATCTGTGTTTTGCTGTGTTGTTCGCTGGGGCTGCCTCTCCTAGGCTGTCTGCCAGGGGTGCTTCTGGGGGTAAGGGGCCTTTGTCAGCATGACTGGCAGAGTACCACAGCAGCAATGTGTGCCTCCCACATCTTTTCCTGTCAAACTACAGACTTACCATTTTTCCAAAGCTGATGAAAAATACACCCAAACAACTGCCCATGGGCCCTTGCTGACAGCTCCCCTAGATTTCACAGCAGCCAGGAGCAAGAGCAGATCTCTTTACTGTGTTCGTGTAATTTTTCTTCCTTTCCTCACATCTGGCTGAACCACTTGCATCCTCCTGACAAGAAACGTGCCACTTCTGTCTTATCCTCTTGGAGAGCAGAGAGCAATTCCCCAAGGCAAAAACATCCAGTGTGCTCAAAAATTGCAATTTGGGGTAGCTAAAAGTAATCTAAATAGTTTGAGAAATAAGCAGTGGTAATTTAGACATCCTATGGGGAGTTAGGTATTCAACAGGGAGGCATCCACATTTGAAAGTGGGCTTGAGGGCATGTGAAGATCCTTCTCACAACCAACAGGAGTGACAAATCCCACTCCATTGTCAGCAGGTGCTTAGTTTATGGCAGAGATGGAAGCAGACAGATAGGATCCCAGTGGCAGCTTTAACAGAGGCAAGCTGCCTAGAAACAGATCACATCCCTGCCACACCAGGCCAGCCTGTTGCTGCTGGGATGTGGTAGTAAATAATTGCTGTAAAATAACTGTCATAAACTGGCAAAGCACACTGTGGCTCCATTACTTCTTTCTTACCAAAGCTAAGAGGAACTGCAACAGATACATTCTCATAAGAAATTTCTGAATGCTTACCTGGTCTGGCAGAGAGAAAACTACAATACAATGAAGTTCTTTCATTTTCAAAAAGCCAGATTTTATAGTCAGAAAATCCTTCTGGGTTTACTGAGACCCTTCCACTCCAGATACAGCATTAAGAAGAATTTAAAGATCATTAAGAAAATAACTTAGCAGGATCTCAAATAGGAATAGTCCCATCTCATTTCCATTCAAATCCCTTGCAATTTGCTGCGAGATACAGATCAGGAGTTAGTGAACACAACAGCCCTCAAAGTGCTGGGAAAAGATCTGGGAGCTCACACCATCTCTAGGACATCGATACCTGCTCCCTGATGGAGCATCATCCCAGGTTTGCCTACAGTGAGCAACCCCACAACACATCAGCCTCTAAAACTGCTGTTCCTAGTGGGGTTAGGCACTCTGGGGAACACATCCCATGGTCCTTAGTGCTCCAGAGAACTGAGCTACCTCATGAACGTACTTGTAGGCACTGTGTCCTTTCAAGCACAGCAGAGGAGAAGGGAACATCAGAGGGCATGTGCCCTTCACTGAAACTAGCTTCTTGTGTATACACAACAGAGATGGTGGGTTAATGGCTAAGGAATTGTGTAATTTGATATCCTTATATAAGCAGCCACCTTGAATTAACAGCACAGTCACATTCAGAGGAGAGGTCTGTATCTGGACCCTGTATCTGGACAGGGTTTGGATGACTGCAGTAAAGATAAGTGGCAAATATACTTAATTAATAAGATTTCTTTCAACACCCAGCTCAGGTCAGAACACAGTCCTTGAGCTTTCTATCTGGTATTTGGAGAGACATGGAATAATTTGCATTCTTCAGCTTTTTATGAGGTGATTGATACGAATTAACACACCTAGGTGAGGAAACCTGCCTGGTCTGAATCACTCGAAACTAGGATGGTAGAAGGCAAAACACTTCAAGATAAAGTGATCTTTGCTTCACTAGGATTGAAAGCATCTTGTTTTTCTCTCCCTTAAATGCAATTGACTGCAGTTGCCTTACTTTTTGATGTAATTAAAGCCTCCACAGCTCCTACAAAAATCCAGGTGGGCTGTGGAGGCTTAAAAATTATGTCCCACTTGCAGTGCCCAGAGTTCAGGTTCAACTGCCCACGCAGGGCTATAGCATTATTGTTTCTTCCCAGATTCCTTATAATAAACACACTGAATTCCCAGCTCATCTTTTTCTTTCCTGTGAGGAATGATTTAACATTAGATTACTGTTTTAAATCCCTGTGAGGAATGATTTAACATTAGATTACTGTTTCCACAGGCATTTAAATCCCTGCAGGGAAACAGAGCCCCATAGGACCCTCTAGGGAAGCACTATGAGGTGCATCAGATCTGAACAACACTGGCAGACAAAACAACATACTCAGACTCTCCCCTACGTACAGCAGGTTTTCAGAGTGGCACATAGGATCAACTGTGTCTTTTTTTTTTTTGTTAAAATTGCAGTAATATGTCTAACTTTCCTGTACTCCTTGGAGACAATCAACTCATGAATTCAGCCAACACTGCCAGGCACCAGGCTTCAGCAAGGACCCAGCCATCTGGAGAACTTCTCCCCATAGAAAGGCGAAGGCCAGAGGACAAGCCAGATTCCCTGTCATGTACAAAGCAGAAAGCAATGCAGCAACAGAAAAGGGAGTGGACAAATTTGCCCTACCAAAAGCAGTTGCACAGTGAATCTGTGTGAAGGTTGGCGAAGACGACAAGCACAGTCAACAGTGAACAAGATCTGTAAACAAAACACTCCCTAGTGGTATTCAATGCAGAGTGCTGGGCACAGTTTATCTTCCTGTACTGATCCATGCTTGCCATGTAGCGTAAAGAATGATGAAGCAGCACAGAACAAATCCAGAGTACACATGTTAACTTCCATCTGGGTCTTCTAATGCTGTGCACCTTGAGCTGTTCCCTCCTCCTTCTCTCTGCTGCTCAGCAGATGTAACTGCTCCTCAGGGCAGCCACGCTTGGCATGGAGTTCAATGTCCTTTCTGTCACATGGGAAGAGTAAGAATGACATGGGCAGAACTGCCCAGGAGAGATTGTACCTGGGGATTAAGGGCCACAAAACTGTGTCAATCTTCTACTCCCTCTCCACTCCTCACTAAAAATAGTCTCTTCTTCTGGTTTCGTCACTAATGAAGGATGGATTGTATTGTCCGGGGTAGATGCATGAATGTCGAGATCCAGGCAAACCAGTGTAGGGAGGATAAAGTCCATTTCTTTCCAGTTCAGGATTTCTCAGTCCCGTTGGCTGTAACAGCAAAGAAAAATAATATAAATAAATAACAGAGATCTTATTCTCACACTCAAATCCTTCTTCAGGCATAGCCTTACCACCTTTCCCAGCACTTATTTCAGTAGCTAGAAGGAACAACGGGATCACTAATGATCTCTGGAACCTGGAATTATTTTTGTAGTGGGAGTTATCCACTGCCTGAAGGAATTATTCTGATGCAATCTAGTTTTGACATCGTGCCAATTAGCAGACTTGAAGTTCACCTGACTCCATCAAGTGCAGTTGAAATGCAGTTAATTTTTAATCCGAGAGAACTGCGCTGATGAGCTCAGACATTGAAACAGCTCTCACGAAAAGGATATGGTCCCAGAGACATCCTTAAAGGAAATGCTTCTAGAAAAATCCAAGTTAGCTTCCTTCTTTGAGTATTACCTGGGAGCACTTCTCTCCCCATTAATGATAGGTACCTACTCTCCCAACACAGGCACATGAATTTTATGTCAAATACAAAGTGACCTGACCTTCCTTTTTCTTCCCTTCTCTTAATTAAGTAAATCCCCTGGGTACACTTGGTTGAGGAACTTTGATGTCTAAGACTAAGACTCCTTTCACCTAGAAAATAACATCAAGCCGCCTTGTTCATCTGTTACAGAGCAGATCCATGCAAAGCTCTCATCACCTACTGCTTGCTAAAAAGCTTCCCTTTCTAGTTGCCAGCATAATAGAAGTTAAAAAAGGCTTCAAAAAAGCATTTTCATTTTCAAATCTCTCAGTCTTACTGGAAGCAGGAAGGAGGATTATCTCCCTTCATGCTGTGCAACCCAGTAAACTTGCTTACTGGAAAACTTAAAATACAAGCCAAAAACCAGTACTGATCACTGCTCTCTTGCTTTGGAAAGCAGGAGCCCAGAATGTGTGATTTGGGTGAAATCCTACAACCTTCACTCCCATAAGTAACCCACGCACACCTTAAGTACACCCAGTATGTTGCTGTAGATTAGTGACAGATGATACACCAGTATCACAGCCCTGGATACAGACATTAGCTGATGGTACCAACCATGATGGCAGGTGTTGTGTCTTCCTGGGCCCTACACAGCCTAGCACTCCTCCATCTCTTCTTCCCTCAGAGCCAAAGGGATGCTCCTTATGCACCCTTGCTGCTGCCCGAAGGAGTCTGTACCCTGGAGAGGGGACGAGTGGGAGAAAGAGGGGTCCTCAGTGACCAGCATCTTCCCATCTTGGGGTGAAGTCTCTCACGCAGAGGTCTCAAATTCCAGCATCACCAGTGAGGGTGGAAGGGAGAAAACTACCTACAGGGATTGCTAGAAGTCTGTCCAAAAGCTTTAACTTTCCTTCTCTACTCTAGGATTGGGCTTTTTGGACATGTACCAAAATGTTCTTAACCATCTTCCCAGCACTCTTCCTAATTACTTCTGTCTGTGATATTCACCACAGGTAAGAGCACAGGACTCCCAATGCCTCGCAGTCTATGGAAGCAATTTGCTTTGCCTTTTTATTTTGCAGGAAAGGGATCTGTATTTCTGAAAAAAATAAAAGGAATGTGTCTTTCCTGAATCAGGCACACATGGCTAATAATCAAGCTATGGATAGATACCGAATAATACACATCTGTCATCTGCAACAGGTTCTTGGTGCTTCCATTCTCCTGCATCTCGATGGTCTCTCTGCCCCACTCCTGTGCTCGGGGGTTCTTTGGATATTCAGCATACGGTGACATCTGGAAATCTCCACTCTTGAAAATGAGTTTACTTATGTCATTTTTATTCTTCCTGTTTATAAAAGAATGAAGGATTGTGAAAACACACAGCTTATCCTGCTATCTTGTATGCACTTCTGACGTGACCTCAGGAGATTTATTTCATGGTATGAACCTTGACTGGGAACAAAGATCACCTCTAAAAGGCTACAGTCAAAACTTCTACTCTGAGACAAAATCAGGTATTAGGTCAGATCATGCTACTCAGGGCATTATGTGGTGAGATTTGAAATCTCCAAGAAAGGAGATAGCATAATCTCTCTGAGCAACCTGTTCTACTGCCCTACTGTCCTCTCAGTGAAGGAGTTTTTGCCCTACATTCAGTTTGAGCCTCTCCTGTTTCAACACAGGCCCATTGTTTCTTAAAAATGTGCATCTTCACCCCAAAAAATGAAAAAATAATGAAAATCTAGGAAAAAGGCAAGCTGTATGGGAGTCCCCCAAAGTGTTCAAGTCCTCAAGAGCTTAACTACAGCACATCTAGGCACTATGTTAATTCCTAAGAAGGAAGCCCTGCAAGGGGCCAGTCTGAATGACACCCACATCATAAGAGTGGACTTTGGTGACACTTCAAGTTCAAAGCAGAGTACCCTCCAGGAAGTCACATAACCTGTCAAAGGGCAGGACCTGTGGGAAGATCAGTCCATTCCTGCAAAGATCTGCACTCTGGAGCCTGGAGGTGTTACTGGCCATCACACCTCCTGGCCGAGTCTTACTGGCATCCCTCTGGTTCAAAACACAGAGAAACAAGTGGACACCACTGTGACAACCTGACCACTGCCACATCTATGCTACTGATAAATCCACCTACTGACTTTAACCAGAGAGCTTCAAAATCCTAGATTTGGGGGCTGGAAAGGGAGAGAGAGGGTATTGCTGCAAGGAAGCCCTTTTCATGATATATAGATGCACATCTATATGGCAGCACATCTTGCTTCTAATCCAAAGCTACCTGCTGGTATGGCAACTATGTGTGTACATGCATGTGTGCATCTGAGGAGAAACACTGAATGAAAGCACAAGCAGGACTTATCCATAAAGGAAAATGAAAATAGCCTTAGATACACTCAAACACCACTTGAGGAATGGCCAGTAACCCCTCCTGTTGCCTAAACTTCTCCTTTGTACTTAGCATGCCGTTTGGAGACTGCTCACTGGCTGCCTTCAGCTTTGAGTGCAAAGGAATCCTCTGCCTCTCCAACCTTAGAGGATATGATTGCCAGGCACATCCTTAAGAGACACCCAGTTCCATTTTTTTTTACCTGTTTGCTGGGGAAAAAGAAAAAAAAAGAAAAAAAGCTGTGCCCCAAATGGAAGCCCAGTGCAGTACTTCAGTGTCTTTGATGAACCCACGTGCTCTGCTGTCCTGTGTCTTCACCTACGTTTTGGTCCTTCAGGGTTCACGTGTGGAGCACTAAGGGTGGTGTAACACACTGCAAGGATGCCACTCGAGCCAGGGCTGGTGGCAGCACCTACCGGCAGCAGGTGACAATCAGTGCAATGCCCATGATAAGCAGAAGTCCCCCTCCTGCGGCTGCGATCACCACAGTGATGAGCTGATACGCTACAGACAGGAAAGAGAGAGACTCACTTAGAAACAGCATTGTGCTTGTAAATACTCATGTAAACATATTCACAGCCCTCATGCGAAGGGATTAACTGTTTATTTCCCAGCTTCTCTCCCTCTGTAAGCAATACTGCCTTACATTTTCAAAGTGAAATGGATGGAGCTGGTGAGCATCTGCTGAAAGAACAAGCCCTTGTTTCCCGAGGGGACAGATTCCCTTCACTGACAGATGAGGATAATTCAAACAGCATTTCATGGATTCAACTCTGAATATCTCACTTCAACAGTGTCACTCTATGTGCTATCATGACAGAGTCTCCAGAGAAAGGAGACTGCCTATCCTTGGGAGATAATATTAACTTATCAAGTGAGGTCAACGAAATAATTTTTAAGAGACATGAAAAAACAAAAACCACTGATAAGAGTAGCATGAACCTGCTGCATTTTAGATGTAGTAATTTGCAATTACTTGATTCTAATTTCCCATTTCTGATGCTGTGGAAATTAAAGGAAACAAAACTCAGTACTTACGGTTTCCACAGTTGAATCCACCTAACCCAAATGGGCAGCTGGTAACAGAAAACAACAGGGTTTAGTTGTGCCAACAAGTCACCACAGCAACATCAAGAAGGATGGTGGGGTAGGAGAAGGGCAGAACAGTCACCATACCTCACACAGGTCTCGTTTTCCAGCTTATATCCATCTTCACAAGCTAAAAACACAGAAGACAGAAGGGCCATGAGCTCTAAGTAGTGGTGCAGGGGCAGGAGGCACTTCCCATGGCTGCTTCCCATGGCAGCCTCACCTCAAACAACCTTGGGGACGTTCACCTCCCACTGGCTTTGACAGGATCATTTCAGGGCTTCTCAGCAGAGCTAGCCCAGAGGCTGGCACAGGGTGGGCAGCTGGTAAAGTAATTCCCAGCAGAACTTCTCACCCAAATGGAAATTCACTGCACGCTTGTATTGCTTCCCACAAAACAGCAGTGTAAAAAATCTGCGTCTCTAGTTTTTCTCTCAGAAACTCATTTGGACAGTGCTGCTTTAGCATTGATGCATGTTATTCTTTACTTTCAAATGCTAGTACTGCAAAAAAAAATCATGCAGAGTCATGGTTAACTCAAAGAGATATGTCATGTTTTGCCTCATGAAAAAGGTCAGGGTTCTTTATTTCTTTCAAATTTGGAGCTAAAAAAAGTTTCAAAATATACTATTTTACTACAGAAACGACATTAAACATTTTACTAGTTCTAAATAACCCAGAAAATGACTATGCACAAAATGTCAGTAAAAACCAAGCCAATGCTTCATTACACGTGCCATGCTGAAAGGACAACTGTCTCATCACCTGAAGTATCTAAGAAGATTATACAATCCTCCTGATGAACAGCAAATGTGATGATGCCTTAAAATGATAAGCTTGAAATTACTGGTAAGATAATAATTTTCTCAGCAATAGTCCTACAGATCCCCTGCCTTTTGTGGAGGCAGTGAAGGTGCATCTGGATCACCCAGCTCATAGTTCATAAACGAGTTTCAGTAATACCTGGTACATGTAGGTGAATCATGGGGTTTAAAATCAACCCAGTCTTGGATTGCCTTGAGGCCCTGTCACTGCAGAGACAACTCATGGGGACTGTGTAGATGGTTTAGTCCTGAGTTGTCCAAAAAGCCAGAGACCAACCAGGGTAGTGCTGCATCATTCAAAGAACCAAAACCTAAGTTGAGTTTTGAAATCCCTCAACAAATAATACGCCTTGAGTCTCAGTCTAATCCAATATTCACTTACCCAAGAAAGATAAAGAGAAGCTGGGGGGTTTTAATGCTGGCTTCAGCCAACAACCTTGTGTACCCAGTCAACCACAAAATCAGCAAAAGAGAAATAGAAAGTAAAGCATACTGAATAAACCTCTCCCATAGATGAATAAACAAAGATAAGGGGAAACTCCATTATATTGCCAAAGATAAATATTCCAGATGGTACAATCCTCTCAGGTAGAGTCCTTGCCCACATTCATATAAATCAAGGAATAAAAACCTCTAAGATTCAGGTTGGGAATAGGGAGTGTCTTCTCCAACTATGCACCTGGAGACCTTTGCCCCCTGGATTGGGACACCAGCTGAGGTCCTTTCCCTGGGATTGAGTGCCCTTACCTGGACAGGTAAGCAAATATTTTTCATGCTTTAAGTTTGTAACCATGGTGATTAACTAATACACCCATAATATTTAGCATGCTTTATAGGTTCATAGAATCATAGAATCTTTAAAGTTGGAAGGGACCTTAAAGATCATCAGATTCCTATCCCCCTGCTATGAGCAGGGAACCACTAGATCTGGTCGCACAAAACCTCGTCCAACCTGGCCTGAAAAACCTCCAGGGATGGGGCATCAACAACCTCCCTGGGCAACCCATTCCAGTTCCTCACCACCCTTAGAGTGAAGAACTTCTTCCTAATATCTAACCTAAATCTCCCCTCTCTCAGTTTAAAACCATTAGCTCTTGTCCTATCACTGTCTTCTCTGATGAAGAGCCCCTCCCCAGCTTTCGTGTAGCCCCTTCAGGCACTGGAAGGTGCTCTAAGGTCTCCCCGGAGCCTTCTCTTCTCCAGGCTGAACAGCCCCAACTCCCTCAGCCTGTCTGCACAGCAGAGGTTCTCCAGGCCTTTGGTCATCTTGGTGGCCCTTCTCTGGACTCTCTCCAACAGGTCTATATCTTCCTTGTGCTGAGGGCACCAGAACTGTACACAGCATTCCAGGTGGGGTCTGACCAGAGCAGAGGGGCAGAATCCCCTCCCTGGCCCTGCTGGCCACACTTCTTTTGATGCAGCCCAGGATGCAGTTGCTCTCTGGGCTCCAGCACACACTGGTGGCTCATGTTGAGCTTCTCATCTACTACCACCCCAAGTCCTTCTCCTCAGAACTGCTCCCCAGCCATTCTCCCCCCAGTCTGTATTTGTGCCTGGGGTTGTGCCGACCCAGGAGCAGGACCCTGCACTTGGCCTTGTTGAACTTCATGAGGTTGGCACTGGCCCAGCTCTGCAGCCTGGAAGGTCCCTCTGGATGGCCTCCCTTCCATCTAGAGTGTCAACCACACCACACAGCTTGTATCATCAGCAAATTTGCTGAGAATACACTCAATCTCACTGTCCATGTCTCCAGCAAAGATGTTAAACAGCACTGGTCCCAGTACTGACCCCTGAGGGACACCACTCATCCCTGGGTCTTCCTTTTTCCC